TAACCTAAATAAAACTTCTATTAAATATCCCCCATTTAGCAAATAAAAATCTGAAATAAGTTTTCGTTTCGAACTTTCGTACTTTAAAACTATTGTATGAGTCAAGAGTGTGGAGCAGCCTTAAGATATGCACTTACTTTTACCTTATCTATAGTATTTAAAATTATTTACATTTATATTCTGCATTGCCAGTTCATTTTATCCAATACAGACACAGGCAAGCACGCATTCTATGCTACAGCTTAAGATATTACCTTTATCTTAAACGGAAGTAACCTGTTCCTTTTTGATATGTTACATAATTGTCTAATATACAATAATGTATACAATAGAAAGTGAAATGCAAAAGCACCAAAGAAAAATATATATTCATATGTTGAAATTAATTTTGAGACATATTAATATTTGTTATTGAGTAATATTATTTTTGAAATTATAATATAGAAGATATACTTTTATCTAAAATACATATTATCATATACAATATATCATTTGTACTAAGAAATATAAAGTTTTAAGACTACCTGAACACTTCTTTTCTTAATCTACTAATGCTATAAGGGAATGGTTCAATGAATCTTTCTAAGATTTTTTAAATGCTAATACGCCTTTGTATAGATATGAAATAGATAAAATAAATGACAGAATTTATATATAAAGTCTTAACATAAGTCTTGATTACAAAAACTTATATAAAAAACCACAATTATTTGTGGTTTTTAATTCATTTTGCATCTTATATAAATATTCTTTGTTTCAGCATACTGGGTGGGATTCTATATTATTAATATTTATTAGAATGGGTAACGAGTCATCATTTATTTGCTATAAAGTAAATAGCAGGCAAACTATTATCATTCATGACATCTTTTTCAAATTGTGGATTGCTACAGGATAACTGAAAATACAGTTAGACAGAGTATGATAAGAAACACATTTGATATCAAGTTTAATTGATAAAAAGGCTTTTTCTTATTTCTTCCATGTAAGAACTATTAATTAAATACAAAATGCTACGATTTTAATATTTTTCAGTTTTTGATTGTTTTCGTCCATAATAGGTATATTTTATTACTAGATATATCCTAACATTTCAGTACTTTCTACTATTTGTTAAAATCGTTTCAAAATGTTTATTATCATAATAATTTATTTAAAGTTCCTGATTCAAGATATTGACACAATGAAACTATTATATCAGTGTCAATCTAATACATCTTAGAAGGTCAGTATCAATGGTTATACTTATTAAGGACGGTAATTGACATCAATAGAATCATCAAAAGAATATAAAAATTGAGTACATAATTTAAAACTAATCTTAGACACGTTAAGTTGTGATAAGTGTGATAACTGATATGTCTAAAGTGATTTAATTTCCATTATACATTTCAAGTGTTTGTGTAACACTTTAAATACATTTGTGTTATATTTATATTTCATATCCATGGACTGTCACTATTGTGTTACAAATATACCTTTAAATTTTTATAACAAAATTACTTTCATTGCAAGACAATGATGTGTTAATTTGAATTTATAACTTATTAATATTTACTTACAGTTTTGACAACCGTATAACATACAGTCTGTTGTTTTCTTTTGGCTTAGTGGAGCCCTTCGGACCCAAATAGAGTTGTCACGTGTACTTGAATACTTTCACTATAGCTGTTGCTCCTCTTACTGGGATATGAAAGATCTCACTGGATTTCGAGAAATACTTTTTAGTTTCGATCGCTAGTGAAATCTCACTGGAATTCGTGTGGCTCCACTGGGATCTGTGTAGCTCCATTTGCGTCCGAATAGCTTCGCTAGGATCCGAATGGCACCTCTAGGAGTCGAATGGCTCCATTAGAATCCGAATGACTCCATTTAAATCCGAATGGCTCCACAAGGATCTGAATGAATCCACTCGGATTCGAACGACTCCGCTTGGATCCGAATGGTCCCATTAAAATCTGAATGGCTTCACTGGAATCCAAATGGGTCTAGTAAGATCCGAACAACTCCATTGGTATTCGCATGGCTCCACTAGGATTCAAATGGCCCCATAGAGATCCGAGCGGGCCACTGGGATCCCAGCCGAGCGCCTAGTGCGTTTGGCGGAGCGTGGTTGCGAGGCGTGCGAGGAGCGCGGCGGCGAGTGCGAGCAGGACGGCGCTAGCGGTGGGGCGCGCGGCCGCGTTGTAGATGGCGCAGTAGGGGCACTGCGACTAAAGGTGGGCGAAACTGTTATATTTTCCTAATTCGTTAAGATGCTGTAATATATTTTTATAACTGTTGTTTTAAACTGTTATAATATATTATAACATTTTCAAATATTACATTGTACACGGGGTTAGTTCAGTTCAGTTGTCGGCTGTGTTAGCGTTTTGTAGTATGTTGTTATAACTATTATAAATATGATTATGATGAATGTTATAATATCAATTCGATTACGAAGAACCGAGAGAAGACTAAAAATGCTTTTAAGTCGTATTAGCATCATTTGAGTGTTCCATGTTTTAAAAGAAAATAATTTAAAATATGTATGTTAAGTTCAATGAACTTCCCTTCCTACTTTTTACAGGCTTAGGACTGTCTGAATGTAAGTTTAACTGTATAATTATGTACTCATATTTTCAAACATTTAAAGAAAAAAATAACTAATTCAGGCGTAGTTAGAAGTCCATTGATGTTATATACATTTTGTTTAAATATTTACATTATTTACACTGTGGTCAAAATTTTAGTAATTTACAATTATTTACATATTTTTTTAGTTACTGTTTAAAAACATTATTTGGCTTACTTTCGATGAAGTAAGCCTTGTGCGTCTATCCGATATTAAATTTCCACTTTTCGAAAAAGCTCTCTCACATGGCACAGAAGTAAAGCTACGATATTGCAGGATTTGATGAACAATAATTACAGAGTTGGGTACAAGGCTTTACGTTCTCGCCACCAATTTAAAGGGCAATCTGCACGGGTAATTATGCCTTCTTTCGTGTACACGTCTATTTCTTCCATTGCCTTAGTACTAGCGCATTTAGGCCTTTTTATAGCTTGGACGTTTTTGTCAAATTCGAGCCAAATGGAGAGGGAGCCTTCTTCCACTTGCAAGTTCTGGACATCTGGTTTCCCCACATCATTATCGTCTTCAGCAAGTTCTGTAGCTTTGTCGATTAAAACACATTTTATGGTGGCTAAAGCATCATCATCATCATTACAACTCACTCCATCTAGTGGGGGGACGCCCTACACTTCGCCTGCCGGTACGAGGCTGCCACTCGAGAACCTTTCTTCCCCATCGGTTGTCGGTTCTTCGAGCTGAATGGCCGGCTCATTGCCACTTCAGCTTACTAATCCGTTGGGCTATGTCGGTCACTCTGGTTCTACTGCGGATATCCTCATTTCTGAGTTTATCACGCAGAGAAACTCCGAGCATAGCCCTCTCCATAGCTCGCTGAGTGACCTTGAGCTTCCTCATCCGGCCAGCAGTGAAGGACCACGTCTCAATTCCGTATGTCATCACTGGCAACACGCACTGGGTGTACAGTCTCGTTTTCAAGTTTTGAGACCTGACGAGAAGATGTGCCGTAATTTCCCGAACGCTGCCCAACCGAATTGAATCCGTCGATTGACCTCTCGGTCGAAGTTGGACTTATCTAGTCGGACTATTTGTCCCAGGTAAACATACTCGTCAACAACTTCGAGCTTAGTGTTCCCAACAACTACCGGCATAGGTGTGACATGGACATTAAACATGATCTTTGTTTTGTCCATGTTCATCTTAAGACCTATCCGTTGGGAAACACTATTGAGGTCATTGAGCTTAGGTCCTCCATCGATTCTGCCATAAGGACTATATCGTCGGCAAATTGAAGGTGAGTGATGTACTCGCCATTGATGTTGATACCGTATCCTTTCCAGTTCAGAAGCTAGAAAACATCTTCCAATGCAGCGGTAAAGAGTTTCGGGGATCTGACGTCACCCTGTCTTACACCTCTCTGCAATTGGATAGGTTTCGTACTCTGGTTCTGTACTCGGATAGCCATCGTAGCTCTACTGTACAAGCACTTCAACACTTCGATATACCGACAGTCAACTTGGCACCGCTGAAGGGACTGCAGCACCGCCCAAATTTCGACGGAATCAAAGGCTTTCTCATAGTCCACATACGCCAGACATAGTGGCAAATTGTACTCCTCGGACTTCTGTACAATTTGCCGAAGGGTATGTATGTGGTCTATGGTGCTAAAGCCTTTTCGGAAACCGGCTTGTTCGGGGGGCTGGAAGTCACCTTCAGCGAATACCGTTTGGTGATTCTGAGTATAAGGTACGCAACCCTCGTCGACACACTCTCAATCTTTACAACGTTGTTAACGAGAGACTTGTGGACGATAAATCCGACACCTCCTTGGGACAGATGGTCGCCCTCCCGGTAATAGAGCAAGTTGCCGGATTACCGTGTCCTCCCCCTCTCTTCGGACTTCGGATAATCCTATAATATGCTAGCGTAACTTGTCTATCTCTTCTCCCAGCTCCATAATCTTCTCGTCAGTCCTCAGGGTGCGTGCGTTGTATGTTGCCAGGTCGAGTCGTCGTAGTTGACAACCGAACCTCCACCGGAGATTCTTAGCACCCCCTGCCCCGCCGTTACCATGGTCGCCACCGTAGCCAGGAATAGCGGGGCCGCCGGGGACTGGGGGCCGTCTCTTCGTAACTTTCATCATAGGGGGTATATTGCCATAGTTGCCACGCTTGGCGAGCGGGTTGGCAATCGCAGTTTTTTATTGTATTTTTGCCGTTACCAGGAAGGTGCTGCTGCCCATCTCCTGCCTGTTTCCCTTTGTCGACTTTTACGACACCCACGGGAAGATATGGGGTAGTGGATATTCTTAACCGCCATTACACGGCATTAACCCCAAAGGCGTTTTTATTCAGCCTTCAGTCGTATCGATTCACCTCAAATTCGAGAAAAATACCAGTAGGCTAATTTTACTATTTAAAAGATTAAACTAATTTAAAAGATTTCGCTGCTGCTGCACCATGTAGCCCGTCGGCACGCCCACCTCCAGCACCGCCATGCCCGACCGCACCGACTGCGACACCAGCACTGTGTACGTACGTAGTCGAAGTAGAAGAGTATCTTGTCGGGCTGGTACTTGGCGCGCTGCAGCGTGGGCACGGCGCGCGACAGCACGTAGGCGTCGAGGCGCTGCTGCTGCACCATGTAGCCCGTCGGCACGCCCACCTCCAGCACCGCCATGCCCGACCGCACCGACTGCGACACCAGCGTGCAGCGTGCACTGTGTACGTACGTAGTCGAAGTAGAAGAGTATCTTGTCGGGCTGGTACTTGGCGCGCTGCAGCGTGGGCACGGCGCGCGACAGCACGTAGGCGTCGAGGCGCTGCTGCTGCACCATGTAGCCCGTCGGCACGCCCACCTCCAGCACCGCCATGCCCGACCGCACCGACTCCGACACCAGCGTCCAGCTGCACACCACATGGATATGTCAATATAAAATAGAAACACGCACCATATCCTGATTTCATTTTAATTAACATTTGACGCCTTATTATAAAAAGTCACTTACATATATCAGGTTTAAAATAAAGTGTTTTAATTAGATGTCTCATGGAAAATGTGTAAGATGTGCAGGATGTATATTATGTGTAGAGTGTGCATTGCGTGTAGGGTGTGCAGTATGTGGGGGGTGATATACTATGTGTAATGTATGGAGGTGTGTGCATTGTATGTATAGGGTGTGTAGAGTCTGTACTATATGTAATGTAGGGTCTGTACAGAGGTTTTTTTCGTACCAGTGGTAATTAAACAACAAACTGACTTTCAATAAGTATTATTTATAATCTATATTGAATAAAAAAAACTTCTGTTTCTGTAGTGTGTGAGTGTATACTGTGTGTAGTATGTGTAGGTGTACTGTATGTAGATTGTGCTGTGTGTAGGGTGTGCACTGCGTATAGGATGTGTAAAGTGTGGAGGTGTACACTATGTGTAAAGTATGTGGAAGCATGTACTGTGGTGTAGTGTGCAGTATATGCTGTGTATAGGTTATGCACTGTGTGAAGGGTGTATACTGAGTATGGTGTGTGCAGTATGTAGGGTGCGCGTGCTGTGTGTTTGCTGTGAGTAGTGTGTAGTGTACTGTGTGAAACTTATGTGTGATGCTTGCCTGGCGCAGCTGCGGTAATCGACGTGCGACTGGTTCCGTCCGTAGAAGCTAGCCTGCGTGCGCAGCTCAAAGGCGCGCAGGGGCGGCGGTGTCTGGAAGCGCGGCACGTCTACGTTGTACTGCACCGACAGCTGCAGCAGCGCGTACCCCGTGCCACGGGCAGTCACCTTCACCGTGCCCCACGCCTCCGGGATCTGCAACGTGCAACCAAACATTTCTATGTATACTACTAGACGGACTATGGGGCCTTAATACAATATGCACAAGTTACGGTCAATTTTCCGTAACTCTACTGCAACTGAATAGGTTGACGTTGCGCAACGTGAGCGTGCGCGTGTGCCCCGCAGCGCCACCGTGTACAGCGTGTACACCGGCACACGCAGCGCGCGCAGTGTACCGGAGTGCAATGAGTGCAGTGGAGTGCAGCGCTCACCTCTATGCTGTGCATGAGCGCCAGGTTGTCGTTGCGCAACATGAGCGTGCGCGTGTGCCCCGCAGCGCCACCGTGTACAGCGTGTACACCGGCACACGCAGCGCGCGCAGTGTACCGGAGTGCAATGAGTGCAGTGGAGTGCAGCGCTCACCTCTATGCTGTGCATGAGCGCCAGGTTGTCGTTGCGCAACGTGAGCGTGCGCGTGTGCCCCGCAGCGCCACCGTGTACAGCGTGTACACCGGCACACGCAGCGCGCGCAGTGTACCGGAGTGCAATGAGTGCAGCGCTCACCTCTATGCTGTGCATGAGCGCCAGGTTGTCGTTGCGCAACGTGAGCGTGCGCGTGTGCCCCGCAGCGCCACCGTGTACAGCGTGTACACCGGCACACGCAGCGCGCGCAGTGTACCGGAGTGCAATGAGTGCAGTGGAGTGCAGCGCTCACCTCTATGCTGTGCATGAGCGCCAGGTTGTCGTTGCGCAACGTGAGCGTGCGCGTGTGCCCCGCAGCGCCACCGTGTACAGCGTGTACACCGGCACACGCAGCGCGCGCAGTGTACCGGAGTGCAATGAGTGCAGTGGAGTGCAGCGCTCACCTCTATGCTGTGCATGAGCGCCAGGTTGTCGTTGCGCAACGTGAGCGTGCGCGTGTGCCCCGCAGCGCCACCGTGTACAGCGTGTACACCGGCACACGCAGCGCGCGCAGTGTACCGGAGTGCAATGAGTGCAGCGCTCACCTCTATGCTGTGCATGAGCGCCAGGTTGTCGTTGCGCAACGTGAGCGTGCGCGTGTGCCCCGCAGCGCCACCGTGTACAGCGTGTACACCGGCACACGCAGCGCGCGCAGTGTACCGGAGTGCAATGAGTGCAGTGGAGTGCAGCGCTCACCTCTATGCTGTGCATGAGCGCCAGGTTGTCGTTGCGCAACGTGAGCGTGCGCGTGTGCCCATGCAGCGCCACGGCGTCCACGGCCACGCTGAGCGCACTCACGTCTCGCAGACGTTTGCGGTTCGTGTACTCGATGAGGGCGCGCAACGCGATGTAAGTGTCCTGTCCGACAAACATTTGTTAAGTAATCAAACTGTTCATACTTAATAATCACATAACTTTATCACATAACTTAAATACCACATATTTAGTATAAAATGACGTTATAATAGATTCGCTATGCAAAAGAGAAAGAGCATTAGAGTACGCGTATGTTAGAGCGAGAAAGATGGATGGGCGACCATTCACGTACATGCTATCGGCCTGGCGTCATTCGTGAATAAAAGAAATCCCGCTAGTGTTTGCGATAGCTCGGGTTTTAAAGTGAAAATTAGTTTTTAATACACGTAATTAATTATGACTAGGTGCATAGCATCTAAATTTAAATCACCTCAGAAAGAAATCCCTCATTAATATACATTTAACCTATAGGTAGGTACGATTGAAACGTTTTACTGTCTAAAGGTTTTGTTTTTGAGCAGGTACAAGCGATTTGTACGCAAATGAATGGGAAAAAATATTACATTTTATAATTTTAATGTTATGAATGTATAGGAATTGAATTTAAAATACTTACATATACGTGAAATCCTGCTAATTCTAACCTCACTTTCGTAGAGATTGACACTATCGATAACAGCTTATCGAACTGTCCCTAACTGGCAAAGGTATGCTTTGCATTCAACCAAATTCAACTTCGTAATATTCACACAAAAGACAGTTCGAAATACAAGTTTAGACTACAGAGAGAGGGAAAGAGGTGAAGAATAAATGTCAAATAAGAAGAAGAAGAAGAATAAATGTAATCACTGAGCATATTTTGTTTCCAGGCACTGTAACCGAGGACGGATGCTAGTCAGGAATGGCCGTGTCATGAATTGATGGCGCCATAGTGCAACAAGCAGCGCCATCTAACAATTAGTTTTCCGAACTAATAATATGTACCCACTCATGTCAGGATGGACGAGCGGACGAATTGTTGTTTGTTACAGGAATGCATAAAGATACACGACCGAGGACGGTCGTACGTCAGGATGGCCGTGTCGGAGTGTCTATGAAATACCCGGTTGGATCGAGGTAGAATGGAGGGTATATCGAGAAACCCCCTCTTTTGTCGGTAGTATAAAGTTCACTGTAGGTGCCGTGCGCGGGAGATTCCGCTCAAGTCATTCAACGGGTGTGGTCATTCGACTAGTGCTAAGATATTGTCGTGGTTCTGTTCGTTGTGGTAATTCTTCTAGTGCAGGCAAGGAGGATTGGTGTTGCTGAGAGGCTGCCCTGTGTTACATTGAGATAAGTAGTGTTGCTGTTGCTGTACATATTTTGGTGTTATCATGTAATTACGTACCTCACGTTACACTGGTGTGTGATTGTGGCTGAGAAGTGTTACGGTGTGGTCGAACTGTAATTTCACTATACTGAATGTATAGTGCGTTACGTTGTCTTATTACCGATAATGATTAATTGCGTAAGCACGAGAGCAAGTTGAACATCCGCTCTCACACTTTTTATTTTTAACAGTTAACGCTATCCTGATGTATTTCCAACACCAAGAGTGGAATACTCTGTTGAATAATTCTCCGACATCAGAAGTGGGATCTCCTGTTGTCATTTCCGATATCAGAAGTGGGATAAAGTCCCTGTTACTGCCCACCTATAAACTTAGAATAGTGTGAGGGTTATTACGTTGGTGAAAGATTATGACGCACTTCGCTTTTTGTTTTTATGTTAAATGTGTTAATTAAGTTATTTTGTCCTATTTACGACATTGACGTACCATTAAAGTGTAGAGTAAAAGTTTAAAGTGAAATGTTTTAAGCCAAAAGTTAAATCTTTTTGTTCGATTTATGTTAAAAGTACCCGCAAGTACTTTTGTAATTTCTTACCGCACCCAAATATAGTAACAAAATGTCGAAATAAATGTTGGAGGTATTCTAAATGAGTTATAGTTTGCATTCAGTGGAAGTTTAACTTGTTCAAGTTATGCTATAATTTGATACACTAGGTGTGATTTACATGGGCTAATTTTAAAGTTTAAAATGTTTAAACGATGTACCGAAAAAAGGAACATCTTTACTTTAACGTGCTATGAATTAAAAACACCAAGCAGTATTTTTGTGTTCTAATGTGTTGATAAGTGTTACAGTTTACTGCGAGTATTACGTAGTCGATAAAATTGGGATTTGATGTTGAGGGTTTAGTGGAAGGCGTGATGCTGTCGCGTACCGCAGACACATTATTTGTCGCTGCTACCGATCACCATTAGATACATGGATAAAGTAATTTTTTTCTAAACATTGTCTTAAAAATATTTTGTAAGAATAGGTGTTCAACTTTTTAATTGGTTGCGAAAAATGCCGGAAAACCAAAGTATAATTAACGAAATTGAAGTGGAGCAAATTACTTCTGACATTGAAGAGAGTATTTAATTTTACAAGAGAATCGGACCGTACCAGAGGAGGTCGTGTAGCCGCAGCTCAGTATATGGTGCCCTGGAAAGATGAATAGTGTCCTGAGAGTACTGCTGCATTTTTATTTGAAAAGAAAAAGTTCCAACTGAATATTTTTAATGTTTTCTTTTATGTGTTACAGTAGCACGTGTGATGTGATTACAAGTGCGTGAGTGTGTGCCTTGCTGGTCGTAACGGACGGCCAGGTCCAGCTGTAACATGGCCTGGTTTCGGCAGATGCGTATGCGCGTATACGCAGGCGCCATCCCGGAGCGCGCGTATGCTGTACATGGCGATGCCTCGGAAGTCGTGTACTCTGTATGCGTAGGAGTCACACTGTGTGCGCGGAAGTGTTATACTCTGTATGCGCGGAAGTTGTGTTCTCTGAACATGCATCAGGCTCTGTCCTGGCAGGCAGTGTCCTGGTTCGCGTTTTTGACGTGATTCACGTGGTTAACGTGGGAACTTGCAAGTTCATGTAAGAGTATGTGTGAGATACTTCGTATACGAGATGTATCCATACTTGTGAAAGCAAAGTGCTTTATTATAGTCACCGGTATGAGAGCGTATTTCAGTTTGAGGACTTCGTATGCGTGATGGATGAGAGGATAGGCAACTGTGTATATTGTCCTGACATTAACAACTTGTTTTTCACGCAGATCACGATGACGACAACCCCGACGATGCCTATGAACCCTCGGGTGAAACTGCTGCTTCCGTTGACGCTTGGAGTGCGTGGTACGGTGCAGCATATCGCTGGCGATCGTGAGATGCGACGACTCGTTGGTGCGAGTGCGGCACGCCGTGTGCTGTTCTTTTAGCCACGTGCGCTTGCCACATGGTAGCTAAGTATGGCGTGTACTGGTTTGTTTTAATAGCCACCTGCCCTTGCCTTATGCCTGCTGCAACGGCGAGCAGTGAGTGACGTGTTCACGGTTGCTATGTCGGCAATCCCAGCTGTGTGCTGATGAATACTGGTGAGTCGTGCCCATTTTATTATGATTATGGTGCCAAATGCTCTCTCATCAAAGATTGTGTTGCACCAAAGTTTGGTGGCAAAAGTGTAAATAATATTGTAAATTCAACCGGAAGTGGTCATGTTAGTGTGCAAAGTACCCCACAAATACCCCCCATGATCATGTGAGGAAGATCCCCGATTACCAAGTTCCTTGAGATTTAGAAGTCATGGTTGATGACAGTGGTAGTGAGACCACATTTGATTAAGAATGCTTGTATACTCATACTCAAAACTTTAGACCGCACCTCATGAGTAACATGTGGCGATGGGTCTGTAGGAAATCGTTGGTGCGATTTCTGTCTGTGTTGGTGCATATTTGGCGGCAGATATGTAGGGAATCGTTGGTGCGATTCTGGCATATGTGGCGGCAGATGTGTTGTAGCATATTTGGCGGTGGATATGTGGAGAATCGTTGGTGCGATTCTGGCATATGTAACGGCAGATATGTAAAGAATCGTTGGTGCGATTCTGGCCTGTGTTGGTGCACAGAGCCCCTTGTGTATTGTAGCATATATGACGGCAGATATGTGGAGAATCGTTGGTGCGATTCTGGCATATGTGACGGCGGATATGTAACGAATCGTTGGTGCGATTCTGGTCTGTGTTGGTGCACAGATTTCAATGAAAGTTTCACGAGTTGAATATGCATTGCTTATGAATTGTAAAGAGTAAAAAAAGTGTTAAAATTACTATGTTGGAACTTGTTGATCGGACCTTCCACGATAAATCATGTTGTGCAGGAAGCACTGTGTAAGAAGCCTTAATACAAGGCATTGTCAATTATGACAGTTGACTATTGTACTTAGACTTAGGAGAAGTAAAGTACCATTTGGAATCGACCTTGTTTCCATTGGCAGAATAGCCGAGCTAGATTAATCACTGAGCATATTTTGTTTCCAGGCACTGTAACCGAGGACGGATGCTAGTCAGGAATGGCCGTGTCATGAATTGATGGCGCCATAGTGCAACAAGCAGCGCCATCTAACAATTAGTTTTCCGAACTAATAATATGTACCCACTCATGTCAGGATGGACGAGCGGACGAATTGTTGTTTGTTACAGGAATGCATAAAGATACACGACCGAGGACGGTCGTACGTCAGGATGGCCGTGTCGGAGTGTCTATGAAATACCCGGTTGGATCGAGGTAGAATGGAGGGTATATCGAGAAACCCCCTCTTTTGTCGGTAGTATAAAGTTCACTGTAGGTGCCGTGCGCGGGAGATTCCGCTCAAGTCATTCAACGGGTGTGGTCATTCGACTAGTGCTAAGATATTGTCGTGGTTCTGTTCGTTGTGGTAATTCTTCTAGTGCAGGCAAGGAGGATTGGTGTTGCTGAGAGGCTGCCCTGTGTTACATTGAGATAAGTAGTGTTGCTGTTGCTGTACATATTTTGGTGTTATCATGTAATTACGTACCTCACGTTACACTGGTGTGTGATTGTGGCTGAGACGTGTTACGGTGTGGTCGAACTGTAATTTCACTATACTGAATGTATAGTGCGTTACGTTGTCTTATTACCGATAATGATTAATTGCGTAAGCACGAGAGCAAGTTGAACATCCGCTCTCACACTTTTTATTTTTAACAGTTAACGCTATCCTGATGTA